GCTGCAGACTATGCTATTTTTCCTGCTTGTAGTCTAATAAATTACTATCGTTGCACCACTCAGCACTCAGGATTTCTAGTAATTTACTAAATCGCAAGCAATCCAGCAGGAATAACTGCATCGTCTACAGCGGGCTTTAAAAACCCTCTAATCAGAGTCTGGACATGCGGTATCCAGCATCTGATTGGTTCGCCATGTTATTTTCCCATTAAATTTTGAATTGACAATTTTACTCCACTTTTATAGTTTTACAAACAACAGGTTGTCGTGAATGATTTTGATCATTTTGATGCGTATCCCTTTGTCGAGACGTTATTACAAAATGGTGCTGCACATCCACCCATTTTTGCAATAAACAGCAAACTCACACTATTATCAAACTTCGTGCGATATGCGGTTATATTTTAGGTTATGGGCTTGTTTTCTGTTCCTGCACTGGTGAACTAGTGCAGTAAGCTAGAATGAGAAAAAATATACTTGTCTTACTCCAATTTATTGCACTAGTTCACCAGTGCAGGAACAGAAAACAAGCCCTATGTCTCGATCTGATAGCATCTTAAAGAGAGAGTGAGATATTCGGACTGCTCTCTCTCTCTCTCTCTCTCTCTCTCTCTCTCTCTCTCTCTCTCTCTCTCTCTCGTTGGATTTGACTAAACATGGCGGACGACTCTGTTGGCCAGACTCTGATTAGCTCCAACCAGACTCTGATTAGAGGATCTCTATGAGCTAGTGGACTTCCGGTGTCCGCTCTCAGGTTTCTTTCTGATTCAATGATACAATCTCGCTCAGAATCTCGTTTTCTCTCCCGCCTATAATTGTACAATTGCAAATTTTTCAAAACAAAATACATTGTAAAAATAAGATAAATTATTATTGGAACAATTGAGACCTCAGATTGTTACCAATCGGAGAATTGAGAAACGATATTCCCCTTCATCGTGAAAATAACTGACGAAACCAAAAGCTACGCATCATTTGTCGCACGTGATAACGTCGCTAGCTTAATATCATCCACAATCATAAACGTAGTTTCAAATTTGAGTGAGCTTTAATAAAATATCCCGAGAAAATTGCGCGAGACGAGGAGGTTCTTTCGCGCGCGCCAGGTGGTGCGTTACAGAGAGCGTATACGGCGGAGTGTTGCAGCGGCGTGTCGCGGTGCTCGAGATGTCATTCGGTGCTCGGTGAACGGGATAGGAGAGTCGAGGGGGAAGGGAGAACGCGAGCGAGAGGTGACGAGCGGGAGAGAGACGGAGAGAGATTTGGAGGTATTTTTCTCCTGCAACCAGAGTATCCGCGCGACGAGAAAAATCTTGCCGAGCCCGGGGACGGCCAGGATGGATCGCGAGCTGGTGGAGAAGTTCATCGAGGTGACGGGTAAGCGTTAACTTTGTCCGCGCGTCAGCGCGAGAATTATCGTTCAGGTTAAATAGCGCGAGCGAGCCCAGCGTCGCGAGTACCGAACGCTCTCCTTCGAGCCCGCGCGAGTGAATCGCGACGACGCCGGAGATGCGGACGGACGCGGACAATTAACGCTTGCGTCTCTTCCCGGTTTAGGCGAGAGCGAGGCGACGGCTCAGCAGTACCTGACGTTGGCCGACGGGAACGTGGAGATGGCGATCAGCCTGATGTTCGAGGGTGGCAGACCGCCGGAGACCGAGAACGCGAATCCCGAGCCGCCCGTGAGGGCACCTATACTACCCATGCGTGAGATACTGGTGCCCTCGGAGCCGATATGCTCGTTGCCACAATTGTCGAACAACGTGTTCGACAGATTCAGAGATTTTGCAGTGGAGACCCGTACGTATTGTCTTGTAGCACATATCAGTTGGAACACGCATAGATACACGGGTGATTAACGCAGAGCGACAAGAGGAGGAGCTGGCTCGCAGAGTGACCGGCGCCAAGCACATGTCTCAGAAGAAGTCGAAGCGACTGGAGGATCTCTTCCGACCACCGTGCGACATCCTCTTCCTGGGTTCCTTCATGGAAGCGCGGGACCACGCCAAGACTCTGAATCGTTGGCTGCTGGTCAACGTTCAGAATCCGCAGGAATTTAGTTGTCAGGTTCTCAACAGGGACGTGTGGTCCAACGAACATATCCAAGAGATTGTGAAGGATCACTTTATCTTGTGGCAAGTATGTCGTATCCAGAATATGCCGCTTTTCGCAGTTTGCATTACGATTCGCCGAGTTACAGCTGCCACTTTTAATCAGGTCTTATCCAACACCTCGGATGGCAAGCGGTACATAGATTTTTACAATGTGGTGACGTACCCTTACCTGGCGATCGTGGATCCCAGAACGGGGGAATGCATGAAAACTTACAACAACATTACTGTGGATAGCCTGATATCTGATTTAAATGACGTGCTAAGCACACATCCGTCTCCCGAAAGTTCGCAAGTTACGTCTGACTCGAAGGATTGGAATGATTTCCCCACGACGCCTCCAAAACGAAATCCTCTAGCCGATCAAATAAAGAATGTTAGTATTTACACAAATTTTACAATTTTTAAAAAGCTTTTCTTTTTCCTCGTGACTTATTCTTTCTTGCAATGTTTTTTTTTCCAGGAATGTGGACCCAGTAGCAAAACTTCTAGACTTTTAGCAGAAAAAGTCATAGATTCTGGTTAGTATCTTTAAAATTTAGAACGTTAATTTTACAAAGTTATATATATATATATATATTGATTTATATTACAAGGCATACAACGCCGTTTCAATTTGTTAAGTACTTGTGTTATATTATGCAGGAAACGACAATGGAACATCTGATAACATTACAAGTTCGAGTGTTCCGTGTAGCAGCAATACTGTTTTTAATAAAAAGAGGAAGCTGAATGAAAATGTAACTAAGGAGCAAAAGGATGAAAAATTAAAATCAGATACAGCTAAATCTGAAACAAGTAAGTGCGACTGTCTACTGTGATGCATAGTTCCCGACATGTCCTTTAATTCATTTGAAATAACTTTTCAATCTAGGCGATGAACCTTTCCTACGACTCTGCTTACGACTGCCTAATGGTGCGAAGGAAACAATATCTATGTGTGCAACGGACACCATAGAAGTACGTACTGAAAACTTTTCCCAGGATTGCACTGTCGTGAAGAGAGACGTAATGTAATTACAATTTTTTTCAGGATTTTTTGATTAAGATGGAGGAAATGGGTTTCTCTTCAACGGAGCATACCTTTTTGGTGCCATTCCCGAAGACAAATGTTGGTGCGCTGTCTGCAAATACTCGTCTGTTAGACACAATTTTGTTTCCAACGAACACAGTATTCATAACGAAGATATAGTAACATTATATAAGTGAACCATAATTGCTTCCATTACAATATTTTGACTTAGATTATGCGTGAAAAGATATTCCTTTGAACTCTGTCATTGTTATTTTTACATTATTATGAAAGTTTGTAAAAATTGTATAGTTAAAAATCTTAGAGTTGGATTTGTTGCTTAAAATTGAATCCATTTGTCACGTCTCTTAAATTTATTTAAATATGTGAAGTGTAGAGACATAATATTTTGTTGTATGAGACAAAAGTTAAAGGCACTGCCATTCAGTGTTCATGTCATACAAAAATGCATTCAAATATAATCTTTCTATCTTGAAATAGGGTTTAAGATTATCGCGTACAGTTGCAAATATTGCGTGTAGTTACTGCCCAAGTATCGTCATCTGATGTTACTTTTTAGTTTTATTATTACCGTGTTCGCAAATCTCTCGCAGGTGCCGTCCATAATTGCGTACAGCTGTCACAATACGTTTCTTTAGAGTGTTTCAAAGTGGCACATACATATAGCAAATTGCAACATTTTGGCAGTCATTTACAGCATTATTACGTGATACAATAAAACGTTTGAAACGTTCCGTATGAAATTTTTGTCAATGTGATTCAAGATACAAAACAAGTAACACTCCACATATTACAATATATCATTATTAGATAAAAAATAAGACGAAACAATTTCACATCGCATACATACATTGCTCATAGTACAAGATATATCAATATATGATCTTTTTGTTAATGTAATCAGTTCAAGTTTAAACTGCCGATCTAATTAAGATAGATATAGATCAATAGTTTACAAGAATTATAATTAATGTCAATAGAATATACTAATATTATGCATCGACTACAGATACATCTCATATATGTCAAACATCTGTATTTTTACTTATTTCTAAATGTATAGCACCATAATTCTGTAATATACATCGTAGAAAAGATTTCTCCTATTAAGTGTGTACTTATATTAAATATATCATTTAAGTAAATCACATATTAATATTTCATACGTTCTGCATCACTTTTTATATAAAATCCCTGTTCTTTTATAATGTAATTTAATGCGCAAGTTTTCCAGCAATTAAAATTATTAACACAGTGCATATTCTCTTTAATAATCTTAATTATATAATTGGAATATTGATTCACACACACACACATACACATATATGTATAACGAAACATGCATTATACATATATAGAGATACTAAAAATATAAACATGTTTTGCCGTACAGGGTGATACAAAGATTCATACATTAAAATATAAAAAATTAAAATAAAAAATGGTATAATATAGAAACCAAGTTTCGTGAAAACAATTTGCAACGTGTGTATACGTGTTTTACATATGTTATTTATATAATATATACAGATATATATATATATATATATATATACAAATTAATTCAAAATGTAGTCCGCTTCACAAATGTATTGATATAAAGCTTCAGTCATTTTAATGTTTAAATATTGATATACATAATATATATTCAGTATATGTTACATTATTCAAAGTGTATACGGCATTAAAAAATATATATCCTCGATAAAACGGTCCTAAGAATCACAAGAGAAGATGAAGCTTTTAATATAAATTCAATATTTGGTATTGTAAAAAAATATTTGGTATTGCAATTCGTTGGTTTTAGTGAACAATGTATAATTCTATGATTAAAACTTATTTCGCACGAGTCGTTCGTACTTTCAGTCACAGGTATCTGCCAAATTTCTGTTTTAAAAATGCTACACGATTTATTTCAATATGCCCAATACCGTACCGAACACTGTAGTCCAATTAGAACAGCGGCAAATATTAATGGTTATTGACATAAATTTTTGTCAATTTGATATACAACTTGATGCACAAAGCGGGATATTAGTGAGGCGGTTGCATAAGTGATGTCTGTGCACGCAAAGTCATACCAGTCACATCTTCTATATAATGGAATGAGAAAAGAATAAGAGAATATTAGATATGATAATATAATTCATAAATAATAGTCTATATAATAGCATTAAATAAACAAATAGATAAAAATATGTGGCTGTGCTCGAAACTAATACAAGTTAATAATCATGTTTACCGTAAATATCTTCCGAGTTAGTGGCAAGATTCAACATTAACGAATCTGAACATAAATAAAAAGAATCTAGAGAAATCATATATATTGTTAGTGCGAGCAGCATTTAATACTTGTGAAAAACGTGATATCTATTCTGGAGATAACACATGCCAACTTTCCTTTAAAAAATAAGAAAGATAATTCATGTATTTTTATTCGTAGATACGTTATCGATACATTATATAACGATAATCTTCATCAAATAAATGTTATATCGAGTCAACACAATAATGTTTAATATATCAATATATTATCTACACTACAAAAGTCCTTAAGGTACATATTTTTAGTAATAAACACATATATTCGAAGACAATGCTCTGAGTATTATACATCATATATGTTGTGTGTATATATAGTGGAATAAAAAGAATCATTAATTAGAAAAAATGTTGTCCAAAAATATTAAGTATTATTGATATTAATAAATAATAAGTATGTTACTTTCATTCATAATATCAGCGAATATAGAGATTTCATTAAATATTAACATTATATAAGCATTTAAAACATAACACGTACATATTATTTAGCGACTAGTTAAGAAAATACGGTTTCACCGATAACAACGTCTCGACTTTATTTTTGAAATTATTTCTGAAGCATTAGAATCCGTTTTCTTTTCTCGACTGGTATTGTCTATATCCGTGAGAGAAGGTATAGTAGTAATACCAAGTAAATTATATGTCTGTACTCCTTCAAGTTTATCTAAAGCATACTTGAAAATAGACGTCAAAGCTTTCTAGTATACGAATCGGTACGGTGTAGTAAGGTTTGTTGTTAATAAGACTGCAAAGCACTTCCACTCGATCTAATCTTACGAACTTAAAAATAAAAAGAGCCATAGAAATCTATGAAAATAATTCTTCTTCCATACCGAGATGTTTCAGAAACACACCCATCGGCGTGCGTTTCAACCCAATGCCCTCGATTTTATTGGCGATTCTGTTTTTGATATTCCTTAATCTCAGCGAGGCGTGTACGAACGTCACTGAAAATACAGACGGGCACAGTGGAGTCGATCTAGTGTCGCCCAAGAGACAAAATCAGAATGTCACACTCACCACAGAAGGGCAACAGAATGCCCAGCATGAAAACCAGCAGAGATCCCAGGGTATACGTTATGAAACAACCGGCGAATATTATGAACAGCACCCCAACCACGGGATATTGCCTTTTGAAGTTATGTATCGTGCTGCCTTCCATGGATACGTACGCGAATGTACCCAGAATCGCCATCATCGCCAGCATGCCGACCAGCATTTTCACAGGGTGGATCAGTCTGTGTGCACGCAATTCATACAAATCAATTAGTGAGCACAAAACCACGTGGAACATATTTGCGCGAGTACAATTCCAAGGCTCTAAAAAAGCAAAGTATAAAGGAAAGTCCGCTATTATGAGATAGGCTCCTGCGAGAAAGCGGAGTTTCTGCTGAATTAATAGGCGTCGTCTGTTGGTCCCATCATCAATTTCTTGCCCTTGGAGTGAAATCTGTTTAGCGGAAAATTGATTGTTAGATCGTGTAATCGTTGCGAGAAGAGATTTGTGATTGAATTTGGACGTTGAAAACCTACCATCTCACGTTGGAATCTCATAATAGAGGGCTTTCCTCTAAATGCAGCAAAGTCGGAAGGTTCAGAGTCTCTATTTGGCAAGACTCGAGCGCGTAAAGAAAGAATACGTTTGATCGTGTGAAATGATATGCAAACGACGACGGAGGCTCACCCGACGATGAGAAAGATGACGACGGACGTAAACAAGTAATTAGTCTGGTAGTAGAGGAGATTGTTGACCACCCGGTTGCCCCACTTCTCCAGGTCCTTGAGATTCGGCAGCTGGAAGCGCGCCGACTCCAGCAGGAAGTCGTCCAGGCTGCGCAGCGGCGGCAGCTCCAGGTCGTTGCTCACCAGCTTCGTCTTGTCCATCGCGGCGCCGAAACGTCCCCGACGACTGTCGCGCGATCCGATCGGCCGGTCTTCCCTCTCGATCGTTCCGCCGTCGACCGGTATTTTTGGACGATGACGAGTCCGGCGACGAATGTCATGCGACGCCGACGGTGCGGATTGTCGTCGGTCTGGGGAACGGACTAATTGGAGCGATCGCGCGCCTTGGCCTCGCGTTTATTGTCGGAGCGGCCGCGAGTCAGCCTCAAGTAAACGAGCCGCCGCACGCTTGCCTCGCGCACAACCGAATGCTGGCTGGCAGAAGTGGCAGGTCGCCGCCGATCGTCGTCGAAATGCATCCGCTTACGACTACGCTTCTCGAGGCGCGCCCGACAGGTGGATGTGTCGGCGATGTCAGATGTTCGATAGAGAATGTTCGATCAGTTCGATATCGAGGTCTTCGGTCAAGGCAGGAAGGTGTTTTATCGAGCGGGTGAAAGAGACTTTCCGCCGCGATATTCAAAACTTGCCGAGAAGTCTTCACGTTGCATCTTGCTTCGGGAGTTTGGACAAATTGCTTCAACAACTTCTAAATGTATAGATTAAAGTGGTGCAAGATAAGTTACATGCGCGAATAACGAGATGAAAACTAAAGACATACGAATATATGCAGGAGAAATATAAATAAGAGAACACATATACTCGTATAACAGAGCATCTGTCAGGAAAAATATAAAAAGTGTTTGGTTAATTTCGAATAATTTTTTAGTTTGGCTTATCGATAGTCTTCCTCCTTTCAAATGTTTTAACCTAATCTATTTTTGTTATTAATAACACAAATATATTTAAGATTTGAATATTCCATAATCATTAACTAATAAGATGGGCCGAGGAAGATTTGTAAACTTTTATAAAATAAAAGACCAACTTAGATATTCTTTTGTAATCAAACGATCTGAATTGGTATCTTCCATAGAATGAGCAATTTATAACAAAAGTATACTATTAGATTATGAGAATACATAATATCATTTAACATTATTATAATTAATATTATTTTCTCCATTGTATATGCAAAACGCTGATTTGAATATTGCCAAATAGTTTAGCGCCGCCTCTGCACTAAAGTTATTTAATTTTTTTAAACATTTGATGACGTTATTGTGATAAAGAATACTGACTTCAGCGTTGGGAATACCTAGGGCACAAAAGTAAAATTTAAATAAATTACATTACATACTCCGCGAGAAATATTCATGTATCTTGTGTACAAATCCAAATGTGACAATTTTTTAGTTTACTTTGTTACAAAATTCAAGCTAAAACTTGACATACAGGCTCTTTAAAACGGATATACAATAGACACTCATGTAATCGAACTCGATCGTTTCTTAATTAATCAGTTAATATATAATCTTTGTGATTATACAAGTATAGGAAATTAAATATTAATAACGCGCGATAATTTCTGCACCCTGTTGAGTAGAAGATCTCCCTGCTTCACCATCGCTTGATACTGCCAATTCTTGCTGTCTGGCCGATTCGTTTCGACTACGCCTCCAACTCGATCAACCTTGCAGTGCAATCGACCTGCCGCTATGAAGCGCGACAGTTCCCTGTGAAAATAACACGTTCCAAGTGCACTAGCGGCATCTCTTTATGCGCGAGTTTCGTAATTTTAATTAAATAAGTTGCGTCAAGATTACTAGCAGCAAACCAAGTAACCATTAGTAATCGACTCACTGATCAATGTATTCCACGGTGACGCCGAATGCTTCAGCCATATACTGGAGGGTCAAAGACCGATAGGACTCGAGCAATTGCGTGTACGCGAGAATCCGCATCTCCCGAACGTAATACCGATAATGAGGAAATATTAAATAATCCCGGCGCAGCAATCCCTCGACGTGGGCTGAAACGATATTTCGACACGGTTGTAGAATCTCCCAGGCACAAAGAAACTCGCCTCAACTTTCGAGCTTACCAAGGTTCTTGAAGAAATCAGCATAATGACAATTATACAGCGAGAACAGATAATCCTTGACGTCTGAATTGCTGTGAAGTACCTCCAGTATCTCGGATCCCTTGATGATTTTGTCCCTCAGTTCGTTCCGCGGCAGACTTATCATGCTCAGGTATACCGTGTACCTCACAAACGTGTTGTAATCCATGAGCTCGTAACTCGTAAACGTGCTAATTGTGTCCAGAAAGAAGTTCGCGGCTTCCTTGAAGTTGCGAACCGCTATGCAGTATATCCCTTGGTAGACTTTTAAACGATTCCGTCTGTCCCAATCACCACCCTCCTCTATTAAGCTGCAAAGTACGAGCGAAATGTACAATAATCCCCACAGTGTCTGCGACAATGGGTATAAATATATCCCTTAGTTTCCACCGACCTTTTCGCCTTCTCGATATTTCTGGTGATATGATCGTGATCCAGGTAGAACAGGCCGATCCTAATATTGTGAAAGACGATATCTAATCTGTGCCCTAGCGATACCGTTTTGTCATAGGTTTTCCTAAACGCCGAGATTGCACCTTCCTTGTCGCCTATCCGACAGAGATATTCGGATTTCTTCAAGTTGGCCTCCCGGACCTCCATCTCGCCTAGATTCTTATCAGCGTCCTCGATGGCGTCGTCGAGTTTCTTCAACTGTTCCGCGTTGTGCGTCTTCATCGTTGCGAGAAGCGCCTCGTCCACTGGCCAATTCAGGTCGTTGCAAACCTCTTGGTAGAACGGGGCCATATCTATCGCGGAAAACGATCGTTAGTCTTACTTCCTCGTTCGAAACCCACGATCGATTGTTAGAGAATTAATAAAACTATCCCAGCAGTCAACAGTGGAGGTTATGTCTCGAGCAATAACAGTCAGCTGGCGTATTCGGCGATCGGGATAAGAGAGGAGGAGACGGCATGAGCCGTTGCGCGAACGAATCAAGTCGCGACGTCGAGAATCACGTAAAACTCTTGACGATAACGCGACAGGCAAGGGAGAAAAAAAATGCAATCTCACTCTCGGCTTTGATGGCATCCAGGAGCTTGGTCCTGAGGTTGGCGTCGTCCGTGTGCTCGCGGAGACCCAGCAGGAATTTCGTCTGCGCCAGCTCCAGGTTCGGGTTCTTCTCCAAACCCTCCTCCTCCAGATTCTCCAGCGGCATTGCGAACTTATCGAACAACTAGGCAGAACCCTGCACCCGTGACGATCGGACACGCTTACGGAGGTCCCCTTAGGTTAGGAAACCTCTTGACGCGAGGGCACTTTTCGCTTCGCTTTCCGATTCGAGGTGTTTCGGGTGGCGCCCGTCGGATGGCGCCACAGTGTCGATCTGTCGGTCCAACGGATCCTTCGTTTGCCGCGCGCGTCAAGAGATGGCGTTGTAAAATCCGTTGCTCGTTCGCCTGTACTGACTACTGCCTTCCAATTTTTGCCAGTCATTCTCGCTCTCGCAAGGGAAAGATATCTGCGAAATGATTTCAAATTAGCAGAAAGAACTCTGTGACGCGCATGAAATCCTCTCCCGCTTTGTAACACGCTTGTTGTAGAGATCCAGAATCGCAGCAATTTTATCCCAGTGAGAAATGATTCGTCGAAACGCCGTCGATGTCGATTCGAAATCGTTTCGGCGTCGATCGACGAGTCATTTCTCGCTGGGCATGCATTTATTAAGTAAATTAAGCGACGGAGACTTAATTAAAGTATATTGAAGTAAAGGCTGCGCTTGAAAGACATAATTGAAGCGCCATCTTAAAAAACGTGTAGACGGGACGCAGCGACTCAGGACTCTCGAATTGACCCTGGTGGCACAATATATTGCCGCAATATTGAGAAATTAATGTACAATAAATCTAGTATTCCCAATATTGGTCCAATATTGGAAGATGGCCTTCTCTTAGCCAATGTGTCTATTTAGAAATACTGGTTTAATATTGCATCAATGTTAGACCAATATTCTTATTACATTGTTAAATATTGGCCAATGCACTTCCAATATAAATCTAATATTATATAATTATTATCGTGTGATTCGAGACGACGTCGCCATGCCAGCCTCGCGAAATGATAATCGTCACCGTAACTTGATGCCGTTTTCTTGTTTAACTTTTACTTAAGATGCAACTCACATGCCCAGCAGTTTGAGAATTTATATCCTTTCATGATGAATGCACTTCGTCCCCTTATCAGCTCATAATTGGCCTCGCAAAACGATTTTGCTTATAAAAAAGATTCTCCACTCGGGCGACTCTTAAGACTTCCCTAGCGGAAAAAATTTCTATAAATAACTACAAAGATTGACTTGAAATCGAAGTTTGTAAAAATGTTTATATCTTCGTTGAAACATTGATTTCTTGGAAAAATATCTACGAAACTGTACCACAAATTACAATGTTCTCAAATCAAGAAATTATTGCAAGCGGTATTTCACGAAAATGTACAATTAAAAATTGGTACAAAACTTTACTAGCTTTAAAAATTTGAGAAACAACAAAATCCCAAAGAATTAAAACATCTGCTTACTTGTAGAATATTACAGAAATTAAGAAGAGCGCTCCAATTCTAGCGTTGTCATGTTGATTTTTGTGTAACACTTTTTAAATTTACGTAGAACTTCTTAGACTCTGGCAGTTATATTTTACAGTTTTGTAGAACTTTGTAGAATTATTTCCGGCAGGGTCAAGACTCTTCTTCTTGATCACACATGTACAACACACGTACGTAAATTCGGAAATGTCCTTTTCATAAGAAAAAAAACCATCGGCCTTCACGCAGATATTCGCTGATCAAGTATTTAGAGCGCCGAATATCCCGCAGCGTCGTTAATCATCATTACGCTTTTTCGCGCAACAGTTCCGTCATAAAAAGGGCCGTACATTACACCGAGGGATAGAGATACGACTTGCGCGCTTGTCGTCCGAGAAAGCAGCCTCCTTCGGGTAAAGAATTGCCACTCACTTTCGGTGTTATATCAGTAATGTATTTTGTAACAATTCATTTTTCACATAAAATATCGTAGTAGTACGAGCAGAGACATACAGATTTACATATTGCGGGATACTCGGGTATCCACTGAGCACCCAATATTAACGTCCGTTGGAGATCTGCGTGGGCTTCGTTAGGATCGGGCGGCAAAGGAGCAAGGAAAGAGAGAGAGAGGAGAGAGAGAGAGAGAGGAGAGAGTGTGTTTGTGAGAGAGAGAAATGGTTGCTTTTTCTTTTCTTCTTTTTTCAAGCTATATCGTCCATCTCGACGAGCGATCCGTCACCCATCCCTTATCCCGCGATATTTTTCGTAGGAGCGATGAATATTCGAGAAGTACATTCGTTAATTCGATACAGAACACATCTCGACTGCCCGAGCGATCGCGACCCGATCGACGACGACGGGCGGCATCGACAGAGGCGCGGATCCGCGATACGGATCGGCCGATCGTTCGAACGCACACGTAGATACACCATTACGTTTAATTAGTAAGGTAGAATAATAGAGGTTCGAAGCGATTAAAAAATATGTCGGAGGCCGGCGGACTCCCCCGGCCCAAGCTCTCTTACTCGCTTACTTAACTCCTCGGATTTTGTTCTTTTTTTCTTTTTTGCTTTGTTTATTCGACACGTTCAACAGCGAATCCACACTTTTATATATCTGTATAATATATATTTATACTTAATAGTAAAGTCCTTAATATAGCGATCAATTTACAATCAGTTAATTTGATTAATCGAAGAATCAATTTAATTAGTAGTGCGATGGTGGATGCGCCAGTCGCACCCGACCGGCCAGAGAGTTATGTGTATATAATCCTCATCTTTTCGATTTGCGAAATCGATGAACGTTGTTGCGCGACTAACACACCGATGACATCTATTATTCTTAGCCGCCGCCCGGAATCGGATTGGATTTCTGAAAAACATCTACTACAATAAACTTCGATCGTATGTACTCGTGACTCGCGATCGTGTCCGTCTGATGCGTGGCTCTATGTGTGTGTGTGTGTGTGTGTGTGTGTGTGTACACGTGTGTGTTTAATATCGTGTAAGTGTGTATGTGTGTGTTTGAGGCCGATGATGGAACGAAAGAAACATCTATAATATAGACATCAGTTATTATATCAACGATTCTCATCTATACCCTGTGCATCATCTTAAATGTCTCGACACATCCTAGGTGATTTCACCCGAGATAAATGTTGCTCGCTTATCCTTACATATAGTCAATATATAATATTTATAGTTTATATTTATATAATATCTATATATATATTTATATATTTATATATTTATATCTGTATATATATTTATAATCATGCCAGATGCGTCACTTTACAGCGTCGGTCAGCGACAAAGGAGGATGCCGATTAATGCCAGCTATAATACCTATTACGACTGCATGTAAGTTGCGTATCTCGTGTATGTGTGCGTGTGTGTGTCTGTCTGTTTCTTTGTTTCTGTATGTGAGTCCATTTTCATATAATGTGTATTAATATATAGTGACTTTCGGCAAAATGCGAAACGCATAACAGAATATAATTAACGAGACAACGTAACGCGTTTATGTTAATAACGACAGTAACGTATGTAACTCCATAGCGATATCGAGAGTCGTAACGATAAATAATAGAGTTGCAACGAGAAAAACGGCGATGGCTGTTGCGGGCGCGAGGTACGAAAGTGGATGGCGCGGTGTGATAAACAAAGTACACACGAATATATATAGTCCCTTTCCTTCTTCTGCCTTCTCGCGTTAGGGCTTGCATCTCCTTACGTTTAAAGTAAGCTCGGCATCCGGTCGCGCGGGCGATCTCTCTTTACCCCCAAGGTTCATCAAGTTATAATTCAGTCGATCGTCGGCGAATTCCCGTCCCGCGCGCGTTGCAAGGCCGGTTCTATTAACATCGATTAACATCAACCTTAGTTTAATCGATTTTCTGTCTCCTTCTAGTCCCGGTTTTCTCGAGAAGGAGATAAATAAGTTAGTCCCCGCTTCTGGACGACGAGAGAGTCGAACGTCGCATACAGATGTACCTCGAAATTTGGAATTTTTAACGCAGAACAGCAATCCTGGAGCCTCGAAATATCAATAGGAAACGGCGAACGGCACTTGAATTAACATACACCGTTCGAGTCACGTCTACAAATTCAATTGACGTCTTCTCTACGCCTGATCGTACAAGGAGGAAACGAATGCAAAATATTTTTTTAATCGCGCGCGATACTTTTATATAACATTATTACTTTCTTTCCGAGCGTCGCGCGTTCGAGGAATAGAAATGTCCGCTTGCGCGGGTGAAGATTAAACTATGGTCAAATTTGATCAACGTTGATGAAAATGGCCGTGCCACGATTTGAAGATCGCACCGACGCAATCGGGCTTGATCTTCTCCTTGCTATGTGCAGTAAACCTTAACGATACAATGACGATAACGATTAATATTTACTCTGTTAAAAAAGCTCATGTAACGCACAAGCGTGGCGAGCGCGAGGGCGACGCGCGACTCGCGACTCGGCGATGTTCCCCGCGCTCATCTCTCGTTAGAGCGCGACGAGGAAATGTAATATCCGCTGGAATAACGGAACGATCAAAAGTGAAAACTGGGAAATTATTTTACCTACAAGCGCTCTGTGTGCGCGGCAAGAAAAGGAACAAGTGAAACAGGTGCTAGCGTATCTTTTTTTATTATTCGGGCTGAGAAACATCATATCGCGCGAACAAAGGCGCGATTCAAAACAGACTGATGCTCCGAGCGCAAAGATACCTTTATATAGTCGATTGATCGCTGATCGCGTTCTTAATCTGTGCTACAAGATGACGACGAGCATGGATCCGTATAGAAACTCGTCCGTGGACACGTAAAAATGTAATTTCACAACCGGGCCTCGTGTTTCCGAAAGGTTAACACTTTTTCATGTTCCTTCTCTATCGTCTCTCTTTATGATTATTGTTAGACTAATTTACTGTATCGGCAACGATGCCTCGTTATGGCACAACCGAGCTAAACTGGAAATCGATCAAGCTCGGCTCGGTGCACGGTCGAAATGAGAAAAATTGCTCGTCGAGGAGACGCGTGTCTCCTCAGTTACAACTTTATAAAAGATAAATCACGTGGTGGATTTCTTTTTCTTTGTCAAGAGGAATTTTTCCATCGTTCTTGCGTCGAAATTCAAATATGTGACAAGTTATATAAATATTGCTTCTATGTAGTAATGTTACATATGACGCCATGTAAAACGAAGAAAATCAACGACTTCTTGGGTCAGCGTTAAAACAGTGATTCCGATGACATAAAAATGCGTCGGGATTCAAAACGTAGCCCTCGTCACTTAAAATACGCAACATAGTAATGATAACAATACAACAGGCTAACAACGGTATAAGACGCATTGCGATACATAAACACGATAAGTAAATTGCTGATACAATTGTACATACAATCGTAGTGTATCTGTACCGAAGCGAAACGGATATAAATTTCGATCGAGTCTACTAAAGAATATTATTTTCGTCAAACAAATCTTACTGTATCCCATGATGCGGTACAAAAGGAAACTTGATTTATTTCTCGGTTCAAAATCGAGATTTTAATTTTTACCGTCAGTGAATTGAAAATTCAAGATTAAAATGGAAAGAAATTGTATAATAATGTGTATAAATACATATTATCAGCACATGTAATAGTAAATGTATACATGTATATCTCAAAATTTCACAATCTCCTTCTAGAACATCCACTGAACTCGAATAAATAAATACAAAATTTTTTGTTTTATTTAACGATGTCTAAAAAAACCGCAGTCCTCATGAGATAACTCAATATATTGCACTTTCGTTTCCATTGTTTCAATAATATTATATTAATTTATCCCGTGAAAATATCATTATGTATAATAGTATATATCATATAATATTATACGCACATATATATTATACATATATATTATACATATGGTAATAATAATATCATTTTCAGATATTGAAAAAGATATTGACTCGAACATCAATTGCACAAGAAAATGGCCAACTTTAATAAAATAAGTTGATCGACAAATAAATAAATTGCATCGAGAATGTTAACTTATCGAAATTATATCCGTTTCGTTAGTCGGTAAGTTTGCAGACTTCGTGCTTTACTTTACAGCTGCGTCGCGACGTCAAAGTTCCTATTGACTTTCGAAGATAACAATTTGCAATTGCAAACTGGCATAGGATACGCTCTCTATACCCCACTTGCAATCTCGAACGCCCTTCGAAGTAAACGTGGTTTCGGTGGTGAGGCTCGCAGGTGTAACGAGCAATGCGATCGATTTCTCCTGATCGACGTAGGAAAAAAGGATAGCGCAATCACACGTCTGGCCGACCTCGGCTACGTCGGCCGAATTCGTAATCGCGATCTGTTCGGCATTAAGGTCATTTATCGTTATGGTTATCGGAATGCGTGCCCGTGTAAAGTGTATTTTAGCGATCGGATCGGATACAGAACGCGATCGGCGAGCCTGATTTTACCCCGTGGCTTTACGTTTCTCGTTGCGTGCGCGCCACAGTCGCGTTTCACGTAGCGGCTTTCCCGTTCCCGAGCCGCGCGCCCGTAATTACTCACGGCGTAATCACATATCGAGAGCGTGATAAAAAAAATAGAGTGTGAGAGAGGCGCGGCGACGAAGCAGAAGCAGGATGCACAGAGGGTGAGAGCGGCGGGTGAGGGTGGGGAGGGGAACGGGGGGGGGATGTTGGAACAATTGCGTAGGGTGCCCCAAAATTGACGCAATATAGACGCGTTGCGTATTCAGCCGACAACTTTTTAAATCTCAATTTCAATTCAATGTTTTTCTTTAGGAACTGAGCCTCAGATTCTTAATATATATGCATCTGAAATTAACAGCATATCTAATGCTAAATTCGGATAATAGTTCATTATTGCTATCGGAATCTCGATGTTTTCGACGAGGAGAAAACTGTATATATATATATGTATGTATATATATCCATTTTCCGCCAATTCTGAGGTGCTTTGTACGTAGAACCGGCTTGAGCAAAGGAGACTGGGACACAGAGAGAGAGAGAGAGAGAAAAAGAGGAAATGGAGTATTGAGCGGCGGATGGATCGACGAGGAGCGAGAGATTCGCGCGCAGATTGCAAGCAGCATCTCGCGAGGTGACCCGCGGGGAGGGGGATTTAAAAAGGGAGAGTGACAAGAATGAGGGAACGACGATTTTTGGGGGGGAGAGGGCAAGGGGGGGACGACGCGCGACGGTGCGACCCCGACACGTTGAGAGCCGTGTCTCGAAAGACGCGTGTAAAAATACGTAGAAAAGATAAACGCGGCGGATACGCGCGTCGCTCGCGCGCGCGCACAGGAGGCGATCGGCACAGGCGGAGGAGAGGACGGGATGAAGAGAGAGAAAGAGAGAGAGAGGAGAGAGAGAGAGAGAGGATTATGAGGGGCTGGTAGTGGGTCGGTGGTGGCAAACGGTGTCTCACATCGATTATCATACACCGTCGTAGGAGAGGTCGACCGGCGGTCTGTGGTGCGGCGATGCGAGGTAGGACGGCGGCGTGGTGGTGGTGCTGGGCGCCGCGCCAGCCGTGCCGACGTAGCTGGGGTAATTGGCGCTGGGCGCGTGTATGCCCGTCGGTGGCGCCGGGTAAGCGTCGAACGAGCTCGAGTACGAGCCGTTGTACGGCGGGTACGGGTTGGCCGCCATCGGGTGGCTGAGGGTGGCGCTTGCGTGCACGCTACTCATGCCGCTCATCCCGCCGATCCCGTAGCTACGCGGCATCAGGCTGGTGTCGAGGCCACCGAAGAGATAGCCGTTGGCCGAGGCCATCGGCACCGGGTAGTGGCCGGGTAAGATGTTGGGATAGGAGTTGCCGTGGCCGTGGTTCATGCTGGGGGTGTAGTTGCTGGATGCGAGATTCTCCACCGTGTAGGACTTGCTGTGCTGCTGCTGCTGTTGCTGCTGCTGATGTTGCTGCTGCTGTTGCTGCTGCTGAGACTCCTGATGATGACGACTGTTCATGCCGTAGAGACCTCCGTAGCCCGCGTCAGTGGGCGAGTGGTGCAGCGAGGAGGGATAGATCCCGCCACCCGGCGGCAACGGTGGACTGTAATTGGTCATCCCGGTTGGTCCAGCCGGTATGCCGGCGAAACCGGACATGTAAGACTGATGGTGGGCCTCCATCTTATCCGCTAGGGTATCGTCGCCCGGTACACCCGGATGCGAGTGCTGCAGACGCTGACTGCCGCCGTCGGCTATGCTCGGGATCTGGTCAACGAGTGACTCCAGGTCGCTCAGGCTCTTAGTCGACATGTCCGGGGCTCCGGGGACGGAGATCCTCTTGTTGCCGTACTGCTCGTGCGGGTGGTGCGGCGACATGGACGTGTGGGTGGGCGTGTGCGGATGCGGCGGCGTCGGATGCGAATGATGCGAGTGCTCCTCGGCGGACTGGCTGAGAGGCGTCGGTGTCGTCTGATGCGGATGCGGATTATGCGTGTCCGGCGGCTGCTCGTGGTAGCCCAGGTAGGCGTAGCTGTTGTGGGACGGCGTGCCGGGACTGCTGTGGTGACCCGTCGGATCGGGCCCTCCGGCCGGATTGTACTGACGATGGTCGTTGCCCATGTTCTGCTGCGACATGCTGGTAGGCGGCTCGAAGTCCGGATGCTCGACGCTGGGCGACGTCAAGGGCGACGGCTCGAGATTGTTCTCCGACGAGATCGCGGTATTGATCTCCGACGATAGGTCCGAGTGAAACGACAGCGACATGGACTTGGGGCTCTGGCTGTAGTGCTGCAGATGCACTGGGCTCTGCTTCGCGCTCATATTGTACGGGCTATTGTCGTTCATGCCCTGACCGAAGAATCCGTCGTTCATCGGCGGCTGCGCGTACGGCGCCATGTGCGGGAACGTCTTCGGCGGCGACATCAGCGGCGGTGAGAAGCAATTCACGTTACCGTAGCCGTCGTTCAAGTGACCCATCACTTGATGCTGTTGCTGCTGTTGCTGCTCTCTCTCGCGGGTCTCCCGCTCCAACTGCTTTTGTTGCTGGTGTATCTTTTTCGGGCGGCCGCGGCGCTTCTTGATCACCTCGCCGTTCGCGTCCAGCTTCTCGGGATCCGGCGGCGGCTGGTCCTCCGGATTCTTTATCTTCTTCGGTCTGCCGCGTTTCTTCTTGCCCGGTATCACGCCCGACTCCTGCTTAATCCCCATGCCGTTGATCTCCGTGATTCGGCTCTCACCGTCGGGCAAATCGTCGAACACCGGCTTCTTGTCCTCGAGCGGGTCGTGTTCCTTCTTCTTGAGCTTGGAATCGGCGAACACGATGTCCGACTCGTCCAAGTGCGTGATCGTACCGTTCAGGTAGTCGCGGAACTTTTTCAGGGCAGCGTAATATGGCACCTTGTCGGCAGCACGTGGTAGTTGAGCACACCTCGCGCTGCTCGAGGGCATAACCCACATATACTGCAACGCAACATCACAAGTGAGAATTTTACCTAGGCAAACTACGTATACTTGATAAGAATAGACTGCGCGTTTCCTCTCCTACGTTGGGAAATGTACAACTTTAGAAGAAAATAGCCGATGTTGATCAGTTGTCTCATCCAAGAAGACTAGAATGGCTAACGTGCGTAGTTCTTGAATTGGCCGTCGACCATATTGCGAACAGCGCCCCGGAAATGCAACCATATTTCGGCATACCCTCACCACTCATTTAGGCAGGAGTTTACTCTCCTGGGGCCTCATTCTCGAAAAATATCGCGTGCGATATTTTGCGAGAATAAGGCCTCGGGTCTCTAGTCTTCTTGGTCTCATCTTTGTTTAAACTAGATAAACTCAGGAAGATTGGTGATTCATAGCACGTGGTCTCTTTCTAAAGTTTGTACAGCTTTTTAGCCAAACGCACAGTCTATTGTTCTTATGTTTATGAGCACGGAGAAACCTGAGAGCGGCCACGCCGGCGTTCTACTTGATACCGTTTCGGGAGATTGTTTTGCGCCCATTTTTACTTTTGGAACTACTTCATTACGCACTTTCGAACTCTGCCGATAAAATTTCCACTTTGCGCATGTCCGTGCTATGCATTTTGACATCTAATTTATCAAATTTACATTGTCTACATGAGAAAGTTGATGTAAATATCACGCAGATAATTTATGTTAATGTAATTTTGAATTTCACAGCGCAATCCTGAAAAATAGGCGTAGCATGGACACGCACAAAGTGGTGACTTTATCGGCAGTGCCAGAAGAGGCATAGCAAAATAGTTCCAAAAGTAAAAATGGGCGTAAAGGCGCGCAAAACAGCCCCTTGAAACGGTATCAAGTAAAACGCCGGCGTGGCCGCTCTCAGGTTTCCCTCTGCTATCAGCAACTGTCGATTTTAAACGTTTACAATAACTTCGTTTAACTCTCGGATCTTGACACCGTATGGCCAAGCCAGCGCAAAAATGATGGTTAATTTTCGTTAGATAATGTTAAATCTATATCATCACCGAACTCATTGAAATTATTTCGTTCCAATGTTCCAGGCAACACAGTAAACGAGTATCATGAGGATTCGTCGGAGCTCGAATTTTTCCAAATTTCTTCCAAACGAAGAAAACTTTTCCTTCCCGAATTTGCGTTGCCCGAGATATTAGTGCGAAAGAACGGAGTAACAATGTAGCAGCTGTCTTACCGTGTTGGTGCCGTCGACGAGGTTGGGCTGTCTTCCAAAGCCAAATTCTTTCTTTCCCGAGAATACTTCGTATATGAGTTTGCCGTTGAATACTGCAATTTTTGGCTTATACTTTCGTAATTTCTCGAGCAGAATGTGACTACCTGCGAAATAAAGAACGATTGTAGCTTTTATCTCTTACATTGACACGATAAAAACGCTAAAATCTCGATATAACATTAATGAGCTTTTTACTTATGACTTATTAACGTTCGCACGAGGAGCAACTAATTAAGCGTTCTACAAGTTCGATCAAATTCAAATTTGTAGACGGATTCGCGGCATACGCAGCACGCTCACCTATAATTACTTTGACTTATAAATATCGACATTATTGCATAAAGTCATTACACGTTTATCGCTCCTTTTTTCCCCTCGCGTTTATTCGTGACTGCTATTTACGTCGTGCGAATCGCCTATTCCATGTATTTTCGCAAAAGAGAGAGATTATCGTGGTGAAAAATCGTGGATAATCTCACCTGATAAAAAGATACCCGGTAACAATAATAATAATTGAAGGCAGATTCTCCGTTACGAACAACGTAATCGCGAATAATGCAAAGTGAACAAACTGACGATTTCTGCGCGGCATAATCGACGTGGATACAAATGCAAGTGTTATCTAAATTACGGGATTAAGTCGTTTCTTGGAATCGTGCGATTACTCGAAATTCCCTTCGGCCCAAAATGTCGAAAAATCGTCGTACTAGTTTTTCAACACTCCGGTCACGCGGTCACAGTAAGGTTCCCCGCCATTCGCGCCATTCGCGTATTTTCCAGGCGAATACGCGTGCCGATTAGCACAATACGTTAGGGATCGTCAACCAAGGGCCAGCGGACCGAATCCCGGAAGGTTTTATCTGGCTCGCGAAAGAAATTTTGACGTTGTACACGGAAAGGGTGATATTGTATGAACAATATCAGTGTAATTGAAATGAACAGATGATGCCTATTAATTTAACAGAAACCCTGCTATCCCATATTAGGATTCTGTCTCATAATAGGGGACCTGCCTCTACTTATAAAAGTTCTTTCGTTTTTGACTAAATATATTACTGCGTCGCATATATCCCTCCTTTTTAATCGATTCAATTTCAACTCGGTCCGTTCGACAAGGAAGATCGGGGCCTCCACTTATGCTGGATCTGCAATGAGAGTCGCAGAGTCGCAGTCGTAAGAATAATCGACTATGATTGGTCAATTTTTATGTGCCTGACGGAATTGACCAATCGCAGTCGATTATTCTTACGACTGCGACTCTCATTGTAGACCCAGCATTAGGCCTGTTATACAATACGTCCCGACATCCGACAGCGACACAGCCGGTGGTCCAACAAGAATATTTCTTTTCAAAAGATGAACTTTCTCATTGGACCATCGGCTACGTCTCGACATCCGACAGCGACATTACGACGTATCGTAGAACAGGCCCGGCAGACCTGACGTTACGTGTGTCGGCGATAACCTTAAACGCGCGATCGCTCGCGATCGCAGCCGACTAATCTCGTTTGAGGCGAGTGAGCCAAGTGTCCGGCCGCCACTCTGCTCTTACACTTCCGGTCTCATTAATTTATTGGCTACTTTATTTCAGGGAACGTCTGACACGTTCGATGCTCCGGCTAATACCGGAGTCGTGGGACAACTTCCCGTGGAAAGGAGAGAGAGAGAGAGAGAGGGGGGGGGGAGGAGACGGCAGTTTTAGAGCGAGTAGTTTATTGGCTATTAATTATTACCGCTCTCGTCCGCTCCCAATAAATAATACGTCGCGCCTTTTCGGAGCGAAGCTTAAAGCGGATCGAATATTGCCGTCTGCGGCCAATAAAAAAAAGGAGAGATGCGTGAACGGAAACGCGCTCGTAGGAAATAACGTTCAACGACGCTCCGGGACGCTCCGTAGCTCCGTTTCGCGAAAAATTCGGCTCGACCGGTGATTCTGTCGTCGGTCCAGCCGGTCCAGCATCCGCCGCGACGATCGGCCGATCGAAATCGGCGCGCGCGCTGCCTCCTAATGACGGACATAGTCGGAATTTCGTAGTAGGGCGACATTATCCGGAATGGAGGGGTCTACACCGCTTTCGGCAGGGCGATGCGCGTGTTGCGATATGCCTTAAGAGCGCGGCGACGGCGATTAAGTTGGCAGTACTGCCGCTTCCCGCGTCGCGTGCACGCATGGCCGCTACGTCCGAGTGTGGCCGGTCGGAAGTGAGACAAGGGCCTATTTTTCGGGATTAAACGTTCTGTCGGGATGGAGGAGGCGGGGATCGGCGACACGTACGAGCGCGAGTGCGCGGGCACAGCGGGATGGGGCACGACCGGCGCCGTCGACGAGGAGGAGGAGTGGCGGCCCCTGCGCGGACCCACGGACTATCCGGAACGCGGTGAGCCCCAAACGCAGCCCTTCGATCACGATCCAAGCGAGCGCGCTCCTTTTCGCCCGTGCGCCGTGTCACGCTCGCCGTTTCCGATCGCGACAAATGGCGCCGATCAGAGAGATATTCGGCGCGACGTATCGGCGATCTAATCCCGCGGCGGCCCGTCGAGGGTACCGGCGCCCCCCTTCAGGAGGAGATCGGCCGTTTCGCAGCGTCGCCGCGAGGGGGGCAGGAGGCGATAGGAAAATTTTTCTTTTCACGCGATACGCGCGGGGAGAGCGACTGGAAACGTACTTTGGAAAAAACGCTAACGACGCTCGCTCGACATAACCTGTCGGTGCAACCTTCCTTATCTCGTCACGCATTATTATGTGTTTAGCTTTATCTGCAAGTATACCGCATCGCCCTTTTCCCCTCTCGCGGCTATCGGGCCGCGCTCGCTTGGCTCCGCTCCGCGGCGGGTCGTGAGAAATTTTTTACAGCGCGTTGCGTAAAGCTTTGTGAATTCTCGATTAGTGGAACGAGCGCGTCGGCAGAAGTCGCATTCGAGACACCGGAGCACGTTCTCCTCCCGCCGTCAGGCTCAGTTTTTTGTTTCACGTTTCAAGTTTCGGTTCGCGAGACGTACCGAGACGTTTGAAACGCCCTGTATACGCGACAGCCTTCTACACTTGGTCCGTACTTACGAATCGGAGTAAAACGATCCGCACCGATAGACCGGAAGTTCTTCGCGGCACAGCGTCTATTAAAAAAAATGAATGCGGCACAAGAGAGAAACGAGAGGACACGTCCGTCCGTCCGTCCTTCCTTCCCTCCCTCCCTCCCTCCCTCCCTCCCTCGATCTCTCCGTTCGAGACAATGCGCACACATGGTTGTTCCGAAAACGCAGGAAACGCGACACGCGCAACAACGCTCCGCTACCGACATGCCTGTCGTCTCGCGCGAGACCTGACCAAGCTCGAGATCGTAGTTTGTCATCCGTTTGTTTACGAGTTCGCGCATGGTTCCTACAGAGCGCGACTCCGCTTTCGTTCGCGCTCGGTTGTTCGAGGCTATTTGTTTCGCCGAGACGTGGCCGGGGGCAAGGTGCTAATTTTAATTGCACCGCGAAACAAAAAAAACCCGACAGGCAAGTGCTCACTGATGCTTTCCCGTATGAATTTAGGCACAGGTAGAACACGTGTACATTTTCGGACATTTTAAGTTAACGGCTTCGCCGAAGATGTAGAAGTGTATTATCCTATGAGTTGGTAACGGTGATAATTTAATGGTATTTTTCGATATTTACAAAAATTTTTTAATGCCCTTCCAGGTCAGTATTTCATCAGTCCACTCCTAAGGTTGCACACTTTTCTATGACGTAATATTTCATTGTTTAAGTGATGCACGTTAAAGGCTCGATATTTGTGTAGAACGTAATCTATATATAAATTGTCGCGAACGTTGTGAAATTGTTGTTAGGTTGCGTAGAGTACTTTTTTGGTCAAGGGGGCAGATTCGGACAATGGATAGTGAGGCATTTCAATTTTTGAGGCATTCAAGGAATCGCTTTCACTTTTCTCTAGTTGACGATGTCTCTACCATTTCCAGGGTTGACGTAGAGTCAAAATTACATGAACCAATTTGTGTGACCGGGACTTCACGTTTGGCTAGTTTTCTAAAGTTTAATGTCAATTTTGATTCTCTAAATATTAAATAGACATTAAATATAATATATATATCTGTATTTAATAAATATATATATATATATTGGTAATGTGCTTTTTATTTTGTAAATGCATATATAAATCCAAAACTGCCCCACGCTGCGGCAGCGCCAGACAAATGCAATTTTTTTTGTTTATTTATTTTCGGAGAAACTGTTAAATATTTTTTCAATTTGATTTTAAAGAAAGTTGCTTAACATGTCAGAGAATTTATTTACATACTTTTAAAGTCACGTATCCTTCAAATCTGGTTAGAGACTAGGATTGTCCAAAACCGTCCGCGAACCTGCCCCACTCTACCCTATATGCAAAATGTGTAAATGTGGATACGTGCAGAAATTCATGTGGGAAGGCATCGGTGAGTCCTAGTGTACATACGCACCCTCAGAAAGGATCTCTGTTACCGAGACAAAAAATATTCTTGACGCATTTCTATTTCTCACAACCTCATTTGGTATAAAAATAAGACGATGTCAAAATAAAATCAATAATTCTTATTCTCCTGTATCGAATTAAAAAAGATCGACTTACTATATCGAGACAAGAGTAACTTATACAAATGTAAGTTTATATATACCTGCGTTTAGAATATATTTGCCCTCCATTTTATAACGTACGAAATTGTATGTCATCTTATAACGCACCAAGTTGTACGCCAGTTTACAACGCACGTGCTATATGTATATATTAGCGCCACGATATTCGACAAAAGACGATAAATACTATCATTTTATTCTAGATTTTAGAATTTTTCATTTAAGATTAAAACATTCTTTTCTTTATAATATGTTATAATAAATATGATGCGCTATATCGATCCTATTTTACGATAGAAGATTAACGTGTGATAGCATTAGATTTGTTCGTGTTGCACTCGTTGCATTTGGAATCTTCGTTTTCTTTGTCTCCAACGCCCGATATATATTTGTCTCTTTGTAAAGTGTAGGAATTTGGGGGATTTCAAGCAACACAAACAAATTAACCTATTAGATCCGGACATTCTTTTCTGTGGGTACGAGAGCACGGAAACGCGACTCGAACGAGCGCATTCGCGTTGCAAGTCGAAAAAAGGAAAAGTGTCCCTTGCCTTGTTTACTTCACTCTTTACTTGCCTTCTCAATTCGCACTTGCCTCGCACGTGGACTCTCACTGCCGATCCGCGCACGTGTTGTCCGGCACACACGGCGCACACGGCGCACGCCGAGAACCTTCCGAGGTTCACCGTGCAATGGACGAGAGTATACTGAACAGCCTAGGTAGTGGTGGGTGATTTTCACACGATGCATCGATATTTTGAAATTCGACTAATCGCTACATCGATAGTTTTTCTATTCGATGTTACCAACTGGTTACTTTATTTTAGGGTCTTTTTCACCAACCTCGGTTACTGATCTCACTCATATTCCCTACGGTGTCTCTTAAATTATTAGTAGAATTATAAGTTTGCACGTGCTACGTAAACTTTCTGCGCTTAGATTCTTTGTTCTTCTCCTAGCCACCGCTTCAGTATGAATCTATGTCTTCAAATAAGGAAAAGTCTACAGAATTTATGCAATACAAACCGCATATTTATAAAATAAATAAGAACAGTCTATTATAAATTTCATATTAGATAGAAATGAGAAATTGAAAAACACCGGTTATCATCGATGTTTTTCACTAATAATCGATTAGCAAAAATCGTTATTTTATCGATTATTTTTTCAACATCGCCCATCCTTACAGCCTACCTGCTAGAAACTTCGGCGACATGACAAAGAGAGCTGGATAGGGATAGGTTTCTCGAGTCCGTACGTCGCGTGATTCGAATAGGAATATGTCGACGAGAGCGAATTTACCTAATCGCGATCGAGCATACTTAGCGATTTGTTGACTTTCGAGTTCACGTCGAAAGCCTTCCTCAACTGTTTTCGAAATTCATCAGTTTTCTCAAATGTTCAAGAAGAGCTCACGGCAACACGGTCGCGGCGAACTCTTTATCATTTGTGGAACATATGTTTGCAAACGGTAGGGTGCTTGTGCTCGATGATTAACTAACATGACAGTGTGAAGAAAGGACTGTCTACTGTCCCTGAAGTCGTTTTACTATTATTCCAACAGACGCATAAATTATTGTCCAACAATGGTTGTTTCTTTAGTCTTCCGAAAGGTTCCTCGCAACCATATGGTATTTCGAAAAAGAAAAGTCGATTGCTAGGACGGCAAGAGAATTCGTGAAAAGCATAAAGTAGTGACATCTTAGCAAAAATAACAATAGCAAGTGTCATTCAAATTCCAGACGTTTCTCTGTCTAATGTCACGATTGCGAGTCTGCAGAACTTAAATTGACAAACGCAACTCGGAAGAGATATATGTACATTCCGCTATTTTACATGATAAAATATAAACAACGATAAAACATTGTGTAACACAAATATAATACGAAATTGAAATTGATATTTCTGCAAATTACGTCGGGGCGATTTATGCAATAATTATTTTCGACCGAGATTTTGTAATTATCTCATCGTGCGTTTCAGGCGACCCTAAAACCGTTCGGCATACTGACCTTCTTTAATTTCCTTTCTTGTAAGATCTGCGCTGCCTTTCGTCGCACGTGCTACCATATTTGTGAAGCCGATGCCGAGTCGCAAGAGCTTGTAATCGTCGTCCGCAGTCAACGGTTCGGGCGTGAGACCGCTTAGATGTAGGCATTTCCCTGAAAAGACGGGCACACAATGAAGACAATTTGCTTAACTGCATAAATTAATAGTAAGAACATAATGATCGCGCCCTCGCGATCGTAATGAACCTCATTACCCCCCTCCCTCCTGGTAGCCAAGTATCAATTTACAAATCGATTCTGACCTACTGATTTAAGATCCAGAAAATTAGATTCCCAAATTAAAACACTTGATAAATTATTAAATTTGAAATGCGGCTTTGCCCGTGCTTTTTTTCTCCGCGGTAATTGTAGCCACGAGAAAAAAAGGAAGATGAAATTATTAACATGTGCAGCATGTTACACGCATCGCCGAAGCACATGGGCGGCTTTTAAAAATTTTAATGTAATCGACGCCCGCGATATTATACGATCCATTTTTAATTTTAATTGCATAATGTTAAGCATTAAATTGCTTACTTGCGGCGCCATTATAGCGAAACGTATAATTGCAGTCGTCGCGTGAACGGCCAAATGACTTCGCAAAGCTATTGTTCCGCGCGAAATATTCCGTATTTTGTTAATAGGCCGCGCTCGACTATTTATATCCCATTAAATAAACGATCTAAATTTTCTGATAGGCATAATAAAGCCTTGCCCCGGCGGAGGCTTTCGCGCGGAGATAATGGAATTGTTAGAACAGAAGCGCGCAGCGTGTCTATTGTAATAGAAATGACAACCATTGTTGTTTCCATTGTCGATGGTACCGCCGCGCTGGTATCGTTTTGCCCGGATTATACTAAAATCATCGTCGTGAATTTTATCGTTGAAATTTACTACTTGAGATATATTTCCAACCGATAACGACTCACTCCCTTTTTTTTCACCCTCCGATTACGACTCATTCGCGGGCAAGTCTTTTTAACTTGATTAACAATTCGACCGCTTCATCTTCACCGTTCATCTTTCCGAAATAATCCACTCAATTACCGAATCAATTCTACAAGACGATAGTTCCAAGTATCCCCGCGTTATTGATGAAATTATTGGTATTCTATTATTAATTTTACTATTTCTACGCGATAGAGCACGATGACTCCATTGTGGGATATTGTAAGATTACGTATTCTTATTTTAATGCCAATCGATCGCGAAACGTGAATGCGAAGAGACAAAGAGAGAGAGAGAGAGAGAGAGAGAGAGAACTATTGCATGAAGATATATAAATTAATCTCGTGCAAGATGTACAAACGATTAGCGGTTGACCGCTTGAATGTTGCAACAGCGACGAGCGTCAATTAGCGTTGCGAATCGCAAATTTCCATTGTATAAATAATAAATAGCGCGTATAAATAGCGTACAAACAGCGGTAAATCGTACGGACGACAATTCGTTCTAAATATTGACGTATGAATGCTTGGTAAACGCGCGCGATCGTTTATTTCGTATCGCGAAAAGCAAACACGGCGCTTAACGTAACGTATAAAAGGTATTCGCGCCGGTTTTCCCGCGGTTATGCAGATCGGCAATGCGCACGGGAGATTTTAATGGTCGTTTCTACGTAACTGCCGTACGAATGAGCAACTAAGTGCTCGTTGTCAAGTAATACCCCAGGAGGGGTAGTGGCAGTTTTGTGTTCGACACCTTCACGAAACTGCACGCCGCATTATCGCCATAATTTCACGGTCAAATATACTATATTGCGTCGGTGAAGCGAATACCGCGAAGGATCGTGTCGATGGGAATGGATTAAACGGTTTGGGTCAGACGGTCCTTTCTATCTCGTCACATAAAGTTGGATTACGAGTTCGCCATGCGCCACGTCCGTGCGATTAGAAATAATCGCTCCTCGCTTAACGATGGTTGATTTGGTGATTACAAATAAATTATTTACGCGCCAAAGACTCACTTCGTTAATCCCTTCCCGCGTCACCTTATCGCAGAATAGAACATTTTGAGCTACGCTAATCGCGTGTTATAATCACTTTGAGATTAGAGCTTGACCTCACGTACACGGAGAGTATTTTCTTTTAAAATTTATCCTGAAAATCATGTGATCGTGAGACAACATGGTATTTTGAAGAATTTTATGAGAGTTTTTGAAATTTTACTATACATTCTACTAGTAAAATGTATATTAAATATAATTACTACTGATAAAGGTCTTCAAAATTCAATATTGTCCCACAATCACGATTACATAATTTTCAGGATAAATTTTAAGAAAAAATCTTCACCGTGTCAAGTTAAAAAAACGTATACAAAAGATGGATATTTTACGTGCCTACAGTATCCGCATATCTAAATAAGAAGATACGATTAAAAAAATTTATTATCCAAGTATATTATATAAAAAAAAATGTCACGCCGGAATCCCTTCTGTTGCAGCGAGCGAAAACAAAGCCTCCTAGTCGCTACACGCGGCTGTTTAAAAGTTAACTTCTAAAGTAGTTAACGAAAGGGGGTTCATAAATTAGAACACCCTTTCCGCGTTTATACGGCACATCGATAATAAATTTATTTACCGGGACAAACGCCGGAGCGCAATAAGCATCGGCTCCGCTTGGCTCGCGCGGGAAGGAAAGAAAGCGGAGGCCAGATAAATCTCCTCCCGCCGCTCGCGGTGGTGCAGGCACACGGACACTCGCACACACGTGTCCGCGGTACACGTGAGACGACACCCCCGGTGGCGCGAAATTACAATCGTCGCCAAAGTCTATCCCGCGCGAACGTTTACCCCCGGGCAGCAGATAGAGATTTATGACGCGGCCTCGGGAAATTCTCTCTCGCTGCTTTACTCCAGTGGCACCGACCTACAACGGGCGCGCCGCGCCGGCACGACCTTGGAGAACTTCGGAACAAAGTTAAACGCTCGTCCGCGGCCGTTGCACGCTTTCCGGCACAACGTGCCCGACCTCCAAGTCCACGGGAGAAGGCACGAACCGCACGTGTGTGTAATGCCGGTCCCACTTTGCGCACCCGTCACCCGGCTCGAGTCTTTTCGAGATTAATTAATTTTCGCATAATCAGCATTCTAAATCTGGTACGTGGGATAAGAGGAACTTCAAGAGTTATCGAGTGCCTTTAAAGTCAATCAGTGCGTTATCGATCATCACAGCTGTAGGTAGAGTCGCAGTGGTACACTTGTATAACTGTGATCAGTGACTATTCGCTGTTTTTCAGCGATGATCGACTTTAAGAGAGTAAGCTCTAAGGCCCAGTTTCAGCAAACGTCGTTTAACTTTAAGAAAGGGACGTTTGTCCCTTTGTTAAAGTAACAGTTAGAGAGAGCCAAAGAATGAATTAAGCTAAGCTTAAAGTTAAGCGACGTTGGTGAAACCAGGCCTAAGAGGCGCGTTTTTTAAACCAAGTTTCGGCACCAGTTTCTACGTCTCGTTATCCGCGTGTCTCTTCTTTCTCCTCGAGAATTCGCCAATTTCTCGCGACACGCTCGTGCTGTCGGCGAGCAACGTTCGCGAGGCTTTGGTATGGACGTCGCTTAAAACTTGCCGCGGCGAACGGGCCATAAGAAGGAGACTAACGGCCGATCGAACAAACTTTATCGGGGCGAAACGCGACCCTCCTCCGTCATTCACGACGCTAACCTAACCCAACTTGACTTCGCTCGACCTTCCCGCCTAGCCGGGGTGCTTTATGGTGTTTCGAGCGAGGGTGTGAAAAGTGTGTTCCCTCCCCCCGTACGTCGATGGAAAGCAAATGCGCTTGTTCCCGCGCCGCGCCGTCGGTCGGGTCGTCCGTAAATTGTGACTGGTCTCTGATACGGACGTAATCGGGGTGGAACTTGGAATTTCACGCGACCCCGGACGCGAGTATATATATATATATATTTTTAGGGCTGAGAAATTATGGTAATTTATGGGAAATTTGAGAATTTTCCAAGCGAGGAAAAAATAGCCAAGATCGTCGGACTTCTGTCGCGGACGTTCTCTGAGTTATGTCTCTACGAAGCACAAATTATGCCGCTCGAACTCTGCGCTCTGATCGAGGTTGTTGCTGTTTTTGGAAATTTTTGCCACTAATATGATCGGCGCGATACCGGTACTGGTAATATCACTCCCTACTGGTTTGAAGGATTTAATTTTTCCAGTATGAAAAAATATGCAAGAGATATAAATTTTTAAAATATCTGATAATGCTGTTAAAAGTAGAAATAAAATACGGAAAGATATACGTCATAAATATTAATATCAATGCAAATATTTTTCTGTAATATGGAACCATTGTTTCCGCAAATAATTTACGTATATATATTTTTACCGTATAGCATATTTTTATTAATGGATATCTCTGAACCGTGCAACTTGATACATAATCGATGTGCAATATGTGAAATCTGAAGATAATATTTCCCATCGGCAAACCGAAAATATCCGAATAATTAATTTCGATATGATCTCATTTAGCATCACAAATTAATCACGTTACCGATATTCGCTGACAGTCATAGGAGCTATTAGCTGCAACTCTCCGTAAATCCTAACTCTCTAATTTCCACCGCGTCTCTTTATCTGTGTACGGTAGAATGATCTTAAATATATCTGTCACGCGATAGTCGAGAATAGTCTCCTCGGGAGAAAGGAAGAGAAGAAGGAAAGAAGTTTAGACAGAAACTAATAGTTTTTCATTAGTTCTAAAGAGGAGGCGCGATTCGTCACGTTGCACGATCGAATGGGCTTCCTAGGACGTTCGCAACAAGTATTTTTCTCAGCGTGATTCCTCAAGGTCCATCATTTTGCGAAGTTAAACAGTCAAAACTCCGGGACCCCCTCCCCCCGCGTCGTGCGAACTTTCCGAACTTTTGGACTTCAAGGCCGTCGCAATACGTTCTCCTTAACTCGCATTATGGAATCCCGGACATCGGGGAGAGCGCAACAGGACCTTACGTATCGCATTTTTCTTCTCGCCCGTTTCCTTCGCCTCTTTCTCCAGGGGTCTCGCTCGCGGTTACGAGCGAGACGCGGCGAACAGCGCTCTCGAGAAGAAATATCGCCCTTGATATTTTTCTAATGCGCGGGGACTCGACCCTCCTCCTTCAT